CAAAGAGCTCAGAGGGGCGGGGGACCCGGACGGGGGGCCAGCCCGACCCACGGAGGCCCCAACAGCCCCCAAAGACCCCAGAGGGGCGGGGGACCCAGAAGGGAGCCAGCCAGGCCTCCAGAGGCTACAGGGTGCCTAGCATTAAGTTGGGGGAGAAGCCATCCTGAGATTCCATGAAGTTCCAGAACAAGCTCAACCATCTCTGCTGATGGAAATCCCACCAGGGGGTGGCAGTGAGTCTGGCCACCGAGATGTGCGGCCCCCCACCAGTGCCCTACCCGCCCCTGCCAGGCAGAGCACCTCGCCTCGGGAGTCCCCGTCCTCTGACTCTGAGGACGACTCCTGGACGCTGGAGGCGGGACGGGAACGGCCGTGCCAGGGGGATGCAGACGGCGTCTTGGATTCCTCATCGCTGTCACCTCCAGGCACCTGCAGCTTGGCTGGTGGACACAATACACATGATACCCAGGAAGGGCCTGTGCCCCTGTCCCCTTCCCATGGGTGCCCAGGGTGTGGACAAAGGAGAGCCCCGCCTTCACGCTGCGGCCACAGAGCCCTCACCCTGTGTGATCTTGGCCGACACGATCTCGGTGATCTGGGACGTGAGCTTCTGCAGGAACTCCTCCGTGCCCACCTCGGCCAGGGACATGTGGCCACGGGCCTCCACCACCGTGGGCTCTGCTGGGGGCCAGAACGTAGTTCAGCCGGTCCCGTGCCCCACAGACACGCCCCAGCACCCCCTCCAGGCCCCATCCTGGGCTCGGGGGTCTGCAGTGCTGAGGAAGGCACGAACTTGACACCATCACTGCGGGAAACTTGGCAGGGTCGGGTTAAGGGTTCATGAGGGCTGCCTGGTGAGCGGGGGTCAGCTGAGAAGTGACCCCAAAGGTGGGCAACCAACAGGCGGAGCACATGGCCCCCTCTTCTCGCCTTCTGAAGTTACAAATACCCCAGGGTGCGGGGAGGCCCTGTGTAGGTGGCAGACCCCGCTGGGGACCGGGGAGAATCCAGGGCGGATGAGGTCTCCATGGTGGCATGCCCAGCCCCTGCCCCCCCACACTGCGCTCACCCAGCCCTCAGCGGCCACCTGCGTCTGGGCCGGGCATCCGTGAGCTCTGAGCCAAGGGCTGGCGGGGCCCCCAGATCCACAAGGCTCAGAACCAGGCCCAGGGGAGGACAAGCAGCCATTTCTGGGGCCACACAGCCTGGGACAGCCCCTCCACGCCTCATCCCTGCACTAGGGCTTGTCGGTCCCCTCCCTGCGAGGTCGTGCTCCCACCAGCCCATACCTTTCCTCGGTCCGGCAAGATCAGCGAACCCCACAGGCTCTGACATCTGTGTGGATGCAGCTTGGGTCCTAAAGGGGAGTGGTGTCCCGAGAGAGTGCCTCAGCCAGGGCCCTCATTTCACAGTGGGGACACTGAGGCACGGAGAGCCGGCTCCCCCGCACTCACCCCTGCAGGAAGCTGGAGATGAGGACCTCCTTCCCCCCAGCATGCTCGTCCGCCGCCCCCGCCTCCTTGGGCACTGTTAGGAGAACGGGGTGAGCCACCAGGGTGACAGCCCACAGCCCTGAGCCACTTCTGCTTGGGACCTGGTCCAGGATGTCCCGGCCCCCAAGGGACCTTGACCCTGGCCCTCGGGAGCCTCCCGATGGAGTGGGGCCCAGGAAGGACACACTCGGGGTGGCAGGGGGCCTCTAGGAGGGTCTCAGCCGGCTGAGCCAGCCTGCAGGACAGGGGATGGCAGCTGGCGGGGGCTGTGTTTGGGGTCCCCCCAGCTCCGGCGGGGCTCCGACTCACAGCCAGAGACGTGCAGGCTGGCGGAGCAGAGGGCCTGGCCGGCCGCGTTGGTAGCAATGCAGGTGTAGGTGCCCCGATGCTGCCGGCCCACGTCCAGCAGGACCAGACTGTGTTGCTGGGCAGAGCTGGCCACCGTGTAGCCCGGCGTGTCACGGCCGATCCACAGCACGCCCCGCTCGGCCTCCTCCTGCAGCCAGTGCACGGCTGGGGCCGGGCAGCCTGCGGGACAGTCGAGGGTCCATGGGGAAGGGGGCTCCGGGAACTGGGGTGGCCTCTGAGCCCCCTGCGGGGCTGTGAGTGGACACAGGGAGGGGCCTGCTCTGGTCCTCCCCGGGGGAGGGTCCTTGCTGGGGGGCGGGGAGGGGCCTGCTCTGAGCCCCCCTGGGGGAGGGTCCTTGCTGGGGGGCGGGGAGGGGCCTGCTCTGAGCCCGCCTGGGGGAGGGTCCTTGCTGGGGGGCGGGGAGGGGCCTGCTCTGAGCCCCCCCTGGGGGAGGGTCCTTGCTGCGGGGCGGGGAGGGGCCTGCTCTGAGCCCCCCTGGGGGAGGAGTCCTTGCTGGGGGGCGGGGAGAGGCCTGTTCTGAGCCCCCCTGGGGGAGGAGTCCTTGCTGCGGGGCGGGGAGGGGCCTGTTCTGAGCCCCCCTGGGGGAGGGGTCCTTACTGCGGGGCGGGGAGGGGCCTGCTCTGAGCCCCCCCTGGGGGAGGGGTCCTTGCTGGGGGCAGGGAGGGGCCTGTTCTGAGCCCCCCCTGGGGGAGGAGTCCTTGCTGCGGGGCGGGGAGGGGCGTGTTCTGAGCTCCCCTGGGGGAGGGTCCTTGTTGGGGGGCAGGGAGGGGCCTGCTCTGAGCCCCCCTGGGGGAGGGGTCCTTGCTGCGGGGCGGGGAGGGTCCTTGCTGGGGGGCGGGGAGGGGCCTGCTCTGAGCCCGCCTGGGGGAGGGCCTTTGCTGGGGGGCGGGGAGGGGCCTGCTCTGAGCCCCCCTGGAGGAGGGTCCTTGCTGGGGGGCGGGGAGGGGTCTGCTCTGAGCCCCCCTGGGGGAGGGTCCTTGCTGGGGGGCGGGGAGGGGCCTGCTCTGAGCCCCCCTGGGGGAGGGTCCTTGCTGGGGCGGGGAGGGGCCTGCTCTGAGCCCCCCTGGGGGAGGGTCCTTGCTGCGGGGCGGGGAGGGGCCTGCTCTGAGCCCCCCTGGGGGAGGAGTCCTTGCTGCGGGACGGGGAGGGGCCTGTTCTGAGCCCCCCTGGGGGAGGGGTCGTTGCTGGGGGGCGGGAAGGGGCCTGTTCTGAGCCCCCCCTGGGGGAGGAGTCCTTGCTCCGGGGCGGGGAGGGGCCTGTTCTGAGCCCGCCTGGGGGAGGGGTCCTTGCTGCGGGGCGGGGAGGGGCCTGCTCTGAGCCCCCCTGGGGGAGGGTCCTTGCTGGGGGGCGGGGAGGTAGGAGAGCCTTACCTTCCACCTTTACTGAGAAAGTGATGCTGGAGCCTTTCTTCACTTTCTTGGAGGCGAATCTTTCCAGGAATCGGGGCGGCACCAGCTGTTGGTGTGCATCTGGACAAGCAGCAGACACTGGCGATGAACACATGTTGAACCCCTGCTCCCTGTTGGGGCACCGAGGCCTCCAGGGGCACCGGCTGCAGCCCCAGCCCCCAGGTCCCAGCCTCATCCGCCTGGAGGCTGGGTCTCCACAGCCTGCACCCAACCCTCCTCGGTCTGCAAGGTGGTGTCCCTCGGTCACTTTGGCTGAGCCACCCACCCACCCTCTGCCCATCCGAGTTGGCTCACCTGAGGCTGGCTTCTCTTCAGGATCTTTGGGGCCTGAAAGAGCAAGAAGTGGAAATCAGGCCTGCAGCACCAAGGGGCCTGTCTCCCCAGAGCCCGTGCACCTGCCAAGGGTCGGGGTACCCACTCCTATCCACACCTTCCCTGAGACTCAGGCCATGCACGGAGCTCACACTGAGGTTGCTCAGTCCCAGTGTGATGCCCCCCCACCCCACCGCCCGAGGAGTGTGGGGGTCACTCTGGAGCCGACGCAAGGTCGCACTGAAGGTCAGAGGGAAGCCTGGGGAGCGCTGGGTCCCCCAGCCACTGCCGGCTCAGGTGGTGGTGCTCAGAACTTCGGAGAACAAGTAAGTGCAGACCTCTCCTCCCACAGTAACCACTGACCTCTTCCTCTGCACAGTCCGCTGACTAACCCGTGCCCCCCACCCATCCCGGAGCAGGTGTATGGAGGCGCGGGGTGTGGCAGACAGCGGCCCAGGTGTAGACGCTCCGTCCCCAGCACCCACCCCGGACCAGCAGCCGGGCGGACGAGTAGGCAGCGCCCACGGCATTGCTGATGTAGGCTGAGTACTGGCCGGCGTCCTCACTGGTGACCGACAGGACCTCCAGGGTGTGAAGCGTCTTCCTGTCAGCCATGCGGATGTGCTCAGAAGCCGTCAGGGGCTGCCCGTCTTTGAACCAGTACAGTCGGGGTGCTGGGTAGCCTGCGGCCACAGGGGAGTGGTCAGCACCGAGCCTCCGTCCCGTGGGGGCACCAGGGACGGCCCAACCTCCACCTGGCCGGCTGTCTCTCTTCCTCACCTTTCACCTTGAGTTGGAACTTGGCTAGGCGTGTGCCGGGGGCCACCTGGAGGTCCTTCAGTTCCTCCACCACCTGGGGCAGCTGACCCTCCTCTGAGGTAGATTCCATGCCCTCTTGCTCCCGGCTGGTGGGGAGAACAGAGAAGGGGCAGTGAGGTGGACCGGGGAGGGGTCCAGTGCCTGGGTGGTCAGAGGCAGTGAGGTGGACCAGGGAGGGGTACAGCACCTGGGGTGGGGTCAGGGGCAGTGAGGTGGACCGGGGAGGGGTCCAGCGCCTGGGGGGGTCAGGGCAGTGAGGTGAACTGGGGAGGGGTCCAGCGCCTGGGGTGGGGTCAGGGGCAGTGAGGTGGACCGGGGAGGGGTCCAGCGCCTGGGGGGGTCAGGGCAGTGAGGTGGACCGGGGAGGGGTCCAGTGCCTGGGGTGGGGTCAGGGGCAGTGAGGTGGACCGGGGAGGGGTCCAGCGCCTGGGGGGGTCAGGGCAGTGAGGTGGACCGGGGAGGGGTCCAGCGCCTGGGGGGGTCAGGGCAGTGAGGTGGACCGGAGAGGGGTCCAGCGCCTGGGGGGGTCAGGGCAGTGAGGTGGA